CGATTTTTGAGCTATTCAATAATTATTGATTCGGTCTGAGTTCAGTACAATATTTCAGTTAATTTTTCAGTCCAGTCAGTTCAGTTTACCGGTACCAGTTCAGTCCGGTTTTCTTGTCAGTTAAATTAAACCCCGAGATAATGTCAGATAAATGTTTAGATCGAGTTGAGTATCTTAACAGTTATTTTCAGTCAGTCTGAGCATAGTACTTAGTATTTGTTTATTTGTATATATTTTACAGATTGATCAGCAGCAGCACTTACAATTTAACAGTTTAGGTGGGAACTCAGAATAAGTATTACATTGATTATAATTACTCAGCCACGTTTAAAGGTATGTATATGAGATTATCCGCTTTGGGTGGGGGCGCAAGGCCTTAAGTACCCATCCAAAGTTCTTGTGGAGGCACAAGGCCTTAAGTATCCATCATAGTGTGCATATGGCAGACATAGTGTTCGAGACAGTTCAGTTCAGTTACAGACCTTGTGTCTGGAGATTACAGTTTACTTATACATACCTGCAGCCATGATATTGTTATTATTAATGTTTACTTTAGTATGAGTTTCTGCGGAGCACAGTGACTTTAGTGCTCACGCTCCCACTTTATAATGTTTTTCAGGTGACAGGGTCGGTCCGGAGGACTGAGCGGAGCAGGTGGTTGTTGGTCCAGTAAATATGTTTTTGCAGACTTATGATATGTATATTATTTACTGTTTTGACTTCCGCTGACGTTTTCAGATTTTCGATCTGGCATTTTGATCCGAACCTTCGGGTCGGATTTATACAGTACGACATGTTAATAAGGAATAATCCATTTTTCTAAAATTAGTTCAGTCTAAATAAGTCAACGGATTTTTAGAAAAGTAATGTATTATTAGTGGCATCCCAAATCATGTTTTCGCAAACCAATACGTATTTATTAGAAAAAAATTTGCGAAAATCGCACTCTGATTTTAATAAGCTAGTGGGGTGTTACAAATGGTATCAGAGCACGTTTTTGCGTATCTGAATACTTTATTGAATCAGAAATTTTGAAGAGAAGACCTGACCATGCTACGCTCACGCCTCGCCGACTACAGGTAAGTGCTGAGTTACAGTTTATATATCTAAACAGATGCTTTAGTCTATGCTCAGTAGAGGGTATCAGATATTTAACCCTAGAAACCAGTAAGATGCTCGAGTTAATGATCAAGTATGTTTAAAGTATAAATTGATTGTCCCAGTTATTTGATATTTCGACTTTAGTTTTCTCGGGTTCATGTTAGCAACTCGTCAAGAGATCTGTGCGCATTAATAAGCAATTTATTATGTTTGCGTCTGATTAGGTTGATATTTTCAATGTTCAGATGCCGCCTCGTAGAGAACCAGGTCATCAGGAGCTCCCTCAGGCCACAGTAGTCGCACACTTTCGCGACTATCATCCAGAAAAGTTTTCCGGCCAAGGAGATCCTCGTATAGTGGACGAATGGGTTCAGGGCCTTGAAATGATTTTTGAGGTCATGGACTGTCCTGATCAGTATCGTGTAATATGCGCACAAATCCAGTTGACCGGTGATGCCAGACTCTGGTGGAATGCCCATTGGGGTATGCGTCCCGGCGAGAAAGAAGGTTGTACATGGGACCAATTCAAGGAGTTGATCCGCGGGAAGTACTATCCTTCGTACTACCGAGCAGATATGGAACGCCAGTTCCTGGCACTCAGACAGGGTACTCGTTCTGTCGACGAGTACGAAAGAGAATTTACCCAACTGGATCCTTTGTACCCGATCTTGTGAGTACCGAGGAAAAGAGAGCTCTTCGCTTTACTGACGGACTTCTCCCAGCAGTCCGCCACAACATCGTAGGTCACAGCATCCAGACCTACGCCCGCACAGTCGCCATTGCCCAAGAGATAGATGCCAGTATCCGACGAGAAGCTAATCCGACTTTAGCCCAGCCAGTTGCTCAGCCACCAGCCCAGCCCAACGGTGCCCAATCATCAAAGAACCAGAAGAAGAGGAAGTTCAAAGGAGGCCAGATGATCGGAGGAATCGCCCCAAACAGACACCAAACTGCCCGACATGTGGGAAGCGCCACCGTGGAGAATGCCTTGTAGGCCAGAACATTTGTTTCTTTTGTCGCCAGCCAGGCCATATCAGCCCCAACTTCCCCGAACGACTGCAACAACAACGACAACCACCTCAGCAACCTCAACAACAGCAGCAACCTTGACAACAGCCACCACGACCCCAGCAACAGCAATGCGGCAGACAGCAGGCCCGCGTCTCTGCAGTTGATCAGAGAGAGGCCGACCAGCACCCAGGTACCATGTCTGGGATGATTATTCTTAATGATGTGCCTGTTTATGCCTTATTTGACACTGGAGCAACCCACTCTTTTATATCACACCGATGTCTTGAAGCTATAGGAGTTCATTCTCTTACCACTGTCGATCCTCTCGAGGTGAATTTAGCCTCGGGACGAAAGATAGTGACTGATTCCAGAGCCACCGATCTCAGCCTTTCCATCGGCGGCCGTATTTTGACTTCTGATGCTTATTTTATCAGGATGAGGGATTTTGACCTCATACTCGGTATGGATTGGCTAACACGTTTTCACGCAGATATCCGATGTGTAATATCCCGATATTTTATCGGTATAAAATACGTTTAATTCCGATATAATAATGTTAGCGTTTATTATTTTCGGAATTAATTATTTTCAGTCGAGATTACCGAAATCTATTTTCGACGTACCGTTTACGTCCGAAATAATTTTGGTAATTAAGCATTGTGTTTAATTAAATAATTAAACATAAATTGAGTGATTAATCATAATTAATCACCCAAATAAGATTAGTAGCCGTGCAAATATAGGCATTTTTTCCCAAATTTTCGTATAAGCCGTGAGACTTCTTCAAAGTAAGGAAACCAAAATTCTTCATCCCTATTGAGATTATGCTACGTGGCAAGCGGAGAGGTTGATGAGTCATGTTTGAAATTGCCACAAGAGAACAAGTGTTAAGCTTTAAGGGGGCCACATCACACGGCCATCATCTTTTCTTCTCTCGGCCGTGTATTAATACGGATAGTTGGATCGAATTTCCCCAAAATTTTCCTAAGAAAGGCAGCACCTTATCTCCTCTTACCCATCAGCATATCAAACCTTAAGTTTTGCAGTAAGAAGTTATATCAATTTTACCTTAAAATTTACTATCACTCGCGCGGCAAATTAAGGACACCGCACGGAGTACACGCGAGGAAGAAGCCACGCTTATTTTCCGAGTTCCGTCGAGCCATCAGCGAGGTAAATCCCTCCTTAGTTCATAAGCATATTAGTAAGATCATTTCAGGGTTTATTGTTCAGATTATGGTCGGGAATTTCACTCAAAACCGTACATAAGTTCAAATATGCCTAAGTAAGATTATCGCCGAACAAGTTTCGATTTCTTCCGGCAACTCTCGAACCATGATCATTAAAATGTTCAGTTTAGTCTATTTTATGTTCAGTATGACCAGCTTGTTGAGTATAGATGTGGTATAGTCGATAAAAATGGCCCCAGCCGACGCCAGCGCCTATCGCGCGTGGCCTCGGGTGGCTTCGGGCCGAGGGTTGTTGCCTTTAATACTAATCATGTTTGTCCGTTTGATTAGTTCTTAAATTGTTTCAGTATAATGATCATGTTGAGTTGTTCTGTAGTTGTCGGTTAATAAGTTAATTCGGCCGAGAGGCGGCACATAGCCGTCGGCGGCGCACGGACGTACGCCGCGGCCCTTTCATGTTCAATATGTGTTCGGTGGATCTTCAGGTCATGCTTGATAAGTAATTCATGTTAAGTCCAGTTAAGTTAAATTGGTCGAGTTATTTGCTAGTTTGGTCGAGAGATGGCCGTAGGCCGTAGGCCTCGCACGTAGCGAGCCTACCGCGGCCGAGAGTTGTGTTCACCAAACAAGTTCAGCCAAGTTACTTGAAAATTCGGTTAAATGTTCATACTAGATCAGGACCTGTTCAGTTAAGTCAGTTGGTCGATCGAGTTCGCCGGACGGTCGGCAAGGATTCGACCGTGGT